ACCACCGCAAGAGTTACATCGTCCTTCCCATGGAGCAGAGTAGTCTCCAAGTGCTCGAAGTCGTCTGGAAGTGATGATAACAACATGAGAGCCAAATCTTCATCTCTGAATGTGATGTCCAAATTCAACAAATCTGCAACCAACTGATTGAATGCAGTGACGTGGTCATTCATCGATGTGTCATGCCGGTACTCGAATCGGAACAATCGCTTCTTCATGAGGAGCTTATTCTGGCCGCTTTTCTTCAGAAATTTATCCTCCAAAGCCTTCCACAAAGTGTGAGCAGAATTCTCATTCTTGAATGCGTACTTCTGCTCCCTCGACAAACACGAACGAATTGTTCCACATGCTAAGCGGTTGATATTCTTCCAGTCCTTCTCTTCAACGTCGGTTGGCTTCTCTTCTTCAATTGCAATGTCAACGCCTTGCTGAAAAAGACAATCTAGCACCTCGCCTTGCCACATGCCTAAATGCCCGGTCCCATCGAAAATCTTCACCGGGAGTCTGACGTTCGGCATCACCGTCCTTGCCGGAATGAATGCAGAGGATGATGCGCCCTTGACCTCCTTGGACATCTCGAACTCGAATGCAGTGCTCGCCTCTTCGAATTAGCCTAGGGCAAACCTTTGGCTCTGATACCACTTGTTGGGGTAGAACACCAAAACGCAGCGGACAAAAAATACCCCTCCAACAAATATGGCAAGCACTACTCCAAACGAAAATAAGCCAACACAAATAAATAAAAGACGGAAAATAAAAAGGACACAAAAATTGATAATGGAGTTCGGCGAAAATAGCCTACGTCTCCGGGCACTGCCAACCGCAACGCCAAATTTACTAAACTCACCAACAAAATACAACTAGGGTTAAATAACCCACAAATTAGGATTTCCTTAATTAAGGATTTCCTACCAAGAGAGGAGAGAATAGAATAAGGTGCAATTGTAACCCAAAGGCAAGGGACCTATTTAATAAGATCCTACACATCTTTGGTATACATTCGATGTGGGACAAACAATTAATCAAAAACTAACAGTAATTTCAGATTTTTTTTTATGTTGGGGCCACCTGATGAAATTTGTATAATTGGTGTTTGGATGTTTGGAGCCTATAATATTGAGTAAATCTACATTTCATTGTCAATTAACTATGATGGACTCATATTTTTGTTTTTGAACTTGTTTTCCCAAATTATGAAATGTGCTTCTTTTGGGCATTTTTCAGGAGCTTTGAATATTTAGTTGGAGTTGTGGCCAGTCCAAAGAAGACATTTGCTACAATTGTTGATGGTTCAAAGGTATCTACAAAGATTGGTGTTATCGAGTCGCTGTTGGAGAAGGTAGACCACCCGCTGCCGACGGAGCTTATCTCGGCCGTCGACATACACCACGAACTGTTATTCTCCAGAGTCCCGCTACCGGCAGCTCCTGATGCTCTTGATTTTAGATTGTGAAATTTGATTTGTGGATCTTGATTGCAGATTGTGAAGTTTGATTTTGTGGTGTATTATTGTAAATTAGATTAACTGCTAGTGAAGCTCTTGATTTTAGTTTGTGAAATTTGATTCTTGGATCTTGATTGCATATTGTGAAATTTGATTTTGTGGTGTTGTTACTGTAAATTAGATTAACATTAGGGATTTGTTTTGGAAATTTGATAATAAGCAGGGACCTAATCACAACTTTTCATAATTTCTAATAAAGTGTAGTGGTAAGTTCATGGTTAATTAATCGAAATATAATTAGAATGAAAAGCTCTCTTCTCGTAAGGTGTCAGCAATTAGAATGAAAAGCTCTCTTCTAGCCTTTGCTCTGAAAAGAAAGATCAGAAATATATAAATAAAAAATAATTATAACATTTTTAACATAGTTCAGCATTTTGGTTATTTAAATTAAAAAAAAAAAGTGAATACATTGAATTGAAATAATCGATTTGTTTTTTTTTTTAAATTTTAAAATAAAATAATTGAACCGAAATATAAAATTTTGAAGCAAAAATTTTAGTTTGGTCGACTTAGTTAGATATTGTGTAATCCTATAATAATTAATGTTCAATTATTATAACTGTAATATGCATCCGCAATGTATAAGAATAGGTAAAAAATCATAGTAATATTTGTAATATAGTTCGGACAGCTCAGTTATTTAAAAATAAAATTAAAGCTGACATCAAAATGAATTAAATGCCATTTTAAAAGTAAAAAACAGATAATTGAACCGAAATATAAATTTTTTAACTGAAAATTTTATTTCGTTCGATTTGAGATGCTAAGGTGCAATCTGGTAATCGTTAATGTGCAATCTAATAGTCATTATTATGCAAACCGTATAACATTAATGTGAACTATTAGTATATTAATTTTTATTTTTATTTTGTTTTGCCCAAACGATGCTAATACCGAACGAAACAAATGGTGTATTTGATTGGTTAACCGAATTAACATAATTAATCGAAACAAATTATTTGTCAGTTATTCACTTAACAGAAATAACTGAATTATCTTATTATTATTATTATTATTATATATATATATATATTTATAATATTGTAGTCAATATTTTAAAATTAAAAGTAAAGATATATAATTGGTAATAATATGAAATTTTGAATCGAAAAATTTAGTCTTGTAAGTTGTAGGCGATATTGTATAAACAATTTACAAAAGAATATTTTAGAATATAGCTTGTCTTTATTTCAGTTATTTAAATAAAAAAATGTCATCGTACCGAAATTCTCGATATATAATAATAATAATAATAATAATAATAATAATAATATAACTATTAATATAATATATTAATAATATAATATATAATATAATAATAATAATATAATATGTTTCCCGATATATAATAATAATAATATAATATTATTATTAGAACCGAGTTATAAAAATCTATACCGGATTTATGTTTGTTAGATATCGTTCAATTTTGTGCAATCTGATAGACATTTATGTGCAATCGGTATAACCCTAATGTGCACTCGCAACACGTAAAAAATATAGATAGAAAAATAGTATCATTTATAATAAAAATAAATATAAAGAAATAAAAAGAAATCGGTAATATTTTTCATATAATTCGGCATGTTCGGTTATTTTGTCTATTTAAAAAATAACTAAATATGACATTAACCAACTAATATTATTCGATCAATCATTATAATTACTGTAATTTTAGTATGTGGTACGTGTTGCGTCCTAAGGTGCAACATATTGTTGTATAAAGTGCAATGTATTTATATATAAAGTGCAGTACTTAAATTATGATATTTTAACAGGGTTGTGTTTTTTTTTCATTGATATATGATGTGATGGATAGTGAAGTATTATGTTGCTCGATTTTTTATATTTATATTGCATAATAGTTTGGCGGGAGTTGTTGACATTAATTGTGGAGTGTGGTTATAAAGTGCAACATGTTGTTTTATAAAGTGCAATATTCTATTATATAAAGTGCACTAATTTATAATTTTTCATGTGTATCCGATAACTATTTTTAATATATATAATTTTACATCTAATTAACCTAAATAATTAAAATATATTTTCATTTAATTTTATTATGTAATTTATTTATTATTATTGTTTTTATTTAATAATTTATTTTTTATTTAATATATATACACAACAAAATATATAAAAAAGTATTTTTTTATTAACATTCAATATTTAAAGATTTGAATATAGACATATAAAATATTATTTTTATGTATTTCCTATAAATTCTAGTCTCTACAGTAAACCCTCGGCCCCAAATTCTTCTCCGCTTTCCTCCCGTCAGATTCGCGCAGCCTTCCTAGGCGGCGGTGCGGCGCCGGCCGGTGGTCGTGCTCGACTGCCGTCCCTCCTCTTCTGTCCCAGGCCGTCGATGTTGCTGTGATTGTCGGATTACCATGGCTCTGTTCGCCGGCGAAGTGGAGATAGGAAGAGACGAGCGCTTTAGTCGTCGACAGGTTAGAAATCGATGGAGTAGTTGCTCGCCGGTCCCGATTGGAGGTGAATTCTTCTCCTTTTTCTGCTCAGGTTCTATATTCCCGATTATGTGTGCGAACGGAAGGCCTCGGTTGGTTCCGCTTTTTTTCCGGCAAAATTTGTCCGGGGATTTTGGTCCTGGAGCCGGTGGTCGACGGCGATGTTGGCTGCTTGTGTGTGGGTCGTGAAGAGGGATGGGGCTTTGATGGTTTGTCGGAGTTGAGGGCCCGAGCCGCCCCCCCTGTTTCGGCTAGTGGTGTTAGACGGCGGGGTTCAGGCGCTCCTAAGCTCGGCTAGTGGTGTTAGGCGTGCTCGGGAGGTGCTAGAGTGGGTGCGTGTTCGGTTTGTCCTTCCGGTCGAGGCGGGTCATTTCGGAGATTGGTTTGGGTTCGGACTCGACTTTTTGTATAGGCCTTGTGGCAGTTTCGGAAGCCGTCTCCTGGACTTGGATTATCCTCTGATATCGACCGTTCTCCGCTGGTTCGAGCTGACTGACTTGCTGTGGAAGGGCTTTTTTATCTAGCTGTGTTTTGTTATGTAGTAGTTTGTTTTGTTGTTCTTGTTTAGAGTGTTCGTTCTTGTGGATGTGTTTGTCGCTGTGTTTTAGGTCTGGGCCGTTTGGCCTCTGTGCACCCGAGTGTCATTTTCATTACCCTGTGGGGGTCCGACACTCGGGAATTACCCTGTGGGGGTCTTGTGTTGTTGTGTTTAGTTGTTTTGGGTGTTTTTTTTAGTTTCCAGAGTATTACCCTTTTGGGGTCGGTTCTAGGCGGTCTTTTGACCTGTCCTCTCAGTTTTTAGCTATTGGCTGCTCGTATTCAGTTGTTGACTGTTTGTAATCAGCTGGTGGCTGCTTTCTGCACAGTTGTGCGTTATATATATTACCTCTATCGTTTTGGCAAAAAAAAAAAAACAAATGTGGCCCGTGGCCTTAATTGGAATATAGAAAAATTATTAATTTAAAATTAGATCCCTTCTAGTTATCTAATTTACAAAATAAAACCCTACATTCCCATCCCTAATTTCAGAGATCCGCATCCTCATCACTCCCGAAATTGCTTCTTCCAATGTCGCCGGACATCATCGAGCGGGGGGCATCTTGGATATGGAGTTCCCTCGAATAGCCGGAGTAGCTTCCTCTTTCACCACCACACTGACCCAAGAACAACCCCTTGTCGGAGAGATTTCATCAGTGGCGAGACGGGTGGGAGCACGGCGGATGTCGGGTAGATGAAGGAAGACGCGACGGGTCTGGAGCAGCGGTCATGGGTGGCGGATGTCGGGTAGATGAAGGAATAAGCGGCGGATCTGGAGGTGCCGGCCTCTGCGACGGGAATATCACTAGCCGGCGGCGCTGGAATGGCGGATGGCGGAGAATTCGGAAAGCGGCAGTGGAGAGCCTCGGCCGGCGGCGCCGGAGGCAGTGGCGGTGTGGATTTCCTGGGGGGGAAGAGAACGCGAGTGATGGGTGTGTGCTGAGTGTGTGAAATAGAGTGGTTGTGTGGGTCCCACTGGTCATTAGATGATTGGGATATATCAGTCTTCGATAGTCGGGCTTGCAAGTCGATTTCTGTCGGTGGAGTGGTGGCGGATGGAGGTCGATTCTGGCTTGCAGAGGCTTCAAACTCTGAGTTGGTGGTTGCTGAGAAGGCGGTGGCGGAGGCGGTGCTGGCGGGCGGCGGGCGGTGACTGACGGGCAGAGCTTGTGACGGGAAGATGTATGTGTGTTGTTTGTCCCATTTTTGTTGCATTTTTCCTTGTTATTTTTCCTTTCTTTTTCCCCCATATTAGGTCTTTTAGTTAGTTTTTATCTCGTTTTGTAGTTTATTGCGTGTTTTCCTTCAATTGAGTCTTTAAGTGTTTTTCGTTTGTTTTTCCGGTTGTTTTTGTGTTTTGTCGTTTTCGGTGTGTAGGTCGGGAGCTTCGGGTGAACTTTATCTTCAGGAAAAATTGGTTTCGAGAGCATAATTGGATAGAGGGGTTGGTTAGCAACGCGTAGGAAAAAACGAAACTCAATTCCGAGTTTGGACGAGCCTAAACGAGCCCGAAACATTAAGCCGCGCACAGCAGCTCAGTTTTCTTCACCGCGGCCGCGGAAGAGAGGAAGTCGCGGCCGCGAGCTGCCCGAAAATTCACTTTTCTGGCCTGTGGATGTCGCGGTCTCGGAGGTGGTCGCGGCCGCGAGATTTCTTTACCGCGGCCACGGAGGTCGCGACGTGCAGAAAAATAAGTATCGATTTTAGATTTGTTTTTCAGGATCTTTCGGGCGAGGTTTTGGGATCTCTGGACCTCTCGACCAGGGTGAAAACCCTAGGTCCCGAGAAAACCCAGGAATCTCTTCCTCCTCCTTTCTTTCTTCTTCTTCCTCGTTCCTTTTCTTCTCAAAATCATTATTTTTCATTTTTTCTTCTTTTTCTTAGTTAGGGATTAAGCTTGTACTTCGAATTCAACATTTGAACTTGGATTGATTGTAAGTACTTTTTTTCTCTTGTTTAATTCATGAATAATAGTTGACTTGAGTAGAATGATTATGTTTGTTGAATTTGATTTGCGTAGCTAATTCCTTCTGCAAGGGATAGGGGATGATTGTTCTTGATTAATTTCGTTATTATTGGGCTTTAATTTGTTCATGCTTGTGTGAGTTGCTTTAATTAGGGTTAACTAATTCTTACTTGATAACTTGATATAATCGAAGGGTGACACTTCGATCTTGCAATTGGTAACAATTGGATATTGAGTTGTCGAGTTTGGTTTTGTTGATTCTCGATAATTAGTTGATTAAACACCTTCTAATTGAATTAGCGGCTTTTAGAACCGAAAGTGGAGTAGTCGTAGATCTAGGCTCGCATGAGGTAGATAAGTTCGTAATTGAATAGTCTATAGGTTTTGGATTGAAATACGTGCTTGTCAATGACCCGTCCCTTGTTACAAAATGTTATTGGGATTGGATAATTGACCTGTATTGTGTGCTCGAGCTTGTTCGCCTATGTTCAATCCCTTGTTACGAAGAGTTATTGGGAGCGAACCGCTAGATGTTTAAGCGAGAGTGTCAATCTCGAACCGAACAATTGATTGCCCAGTTTTGCTAAGAACTTGAGTAAATTATCCCCGATTCCCTAGCTTCTCCATCATTGTTCCGTTTATATTTTTAGGTAGATTATTGTTTTCATATTATTTCTTAGTTGGTAATTATTCTACCCCCTTATCTGATTAGAGTGTGTAGGATTTATTTGCTTTTTCTGTGTATTCGATACCAAAGCTAAATTCCGAACCGCCTTCCTCGAGGGATCGACCCGAGGTCGGGAGTCATCCCGTACTCGGTAAAAATATAATTTGCTACAACAAATTTGGCGCCGTTGCCAGAGAGGGCAAGTAGGATATTTAGTTTTGGTGTTTGATCTTATTTTCGGTGTTTCTCTTTATTTTAGTATTTTTAGTGTTTTTGTTTATTTGTGCATTTGTGTTTTTCTCTTTTGTTTTTGTTTTAGTTTTTTTTTTGCCTTTTTTCTCTTCTTTTTCCTTGGCTTCGCGTGGTTGTTTGGTTCTGGTGTGCAGGTACAATGAATTTCAATCACGGGTACTCCTCCCTGCATTACCCATCTTGGAACGACGAGCCGGTCTATTTCCCCGGGTACCACACCCAACCTTACACGTATTCTTCTGAGCAGTGCTGGAACAATTTTCCGGTTGAGCAAACTTATGAGTCCCACAAGTTTAACGAGAAGCTCGACCAGATTCTTGATTTCATGGAGTCTAAATCAGCTCGAGAAGAAGAGGCCGCATACAATGCCAAACTCGATCTCATCTTCGATCGATGTATGGCCCGAGCGAAACAAGAGAAGGAGATTGAGCTCAGATGCGCCCGATTGAGCGAGCAAGTGGAAAGTCTAGCAAGGTGCATCGAATCGATCGAGTCCCAGGCCCACAAGCTCGAGGTTATGGACCCACATCCCATGCCCGAGCATCAAAAAGAGCTCCAGGACGACTCAGAGTACAATGCCAAGCTCGACCTCATCCTCGATTGGATGATGGCCCGAGCAAATCAAGAAAAGGAGATTGAGCTCGGATGTGCTCGGCTGAGCACACAAATAGAGAGCCTCACTGTACGTCTCGATTCGATTGAGGCACAAGTAGACAACCCACACCTCATGCTTGACCCTCTGGCTCGAATTCTAATGCACATGTGTGAGACTGAAGAGGAAGATGATGCTCTCCAGTGGGACGACGATGTTTCGGAGGAGGAGATTCATGGACTTGATCATGCCACCATTTCTCGAGTCCCTCCTCCTGCTACCGAGATGGAGCATTCACCTTTGGGCCATCACACTGTGCTACCAAGTGGGCTAGATTTAGCTCGACTTGTTCCATGGCTGTGCTCGTTATCCCTGAGGCTGATGATAGAGCTCGGGTGGGAAAGGCTCTATGTCAACTACTGGGGATCGCTCGTGCCCACGTCAGGTTCCTCCAGAACACAGCCACCCGGATCCACCATGCCCGCCTTCTTGCCACATTTCCTATGCTTCCACTGCTAGAGAATACGAAGGCGTGGCATGATCGCCATTTGTTTCTGGATCCTGGTTGATTCGTGTACAGGTTTCGTCAAGCTAATGACGTTAAACAAGCGCTTCTTGGGAGGCAACCCAAGTGATTTATGGATTTCTTAATTATTTTCTTTTTGCTTTTATTTCATCTTTTAATAATTGGAGTTTGGAGTTTCTGTGTTTTTCTTGGCAGGTACGAGTTTGCGAGCTTGAGCAGAAGGAATATCAGGGTTCTGGGCTGTGCATAGGCGAGCGGCTTGCACGTGTGGTTATTCTCCATGAGTCACCCCCGGTTTGCACACGTTTTCTCTTCTTACATTTTTGAGTGTGTTTCTTCCGTCTGCTTTTCTTTCTTAGTTTGTGTGCTTGTGTTAGCTGCTGGTATTGGTTTATTGCATGAAATTGCTAGTTCTTGTATTTGGCTCCCGGTTTTGTGTTGAAGCAATGAGGACATTGCCTCATATTAAGTGTGGGGGAGTTTACTTAGATTTGGCATGCTTATGTAGTGAATCAATCTAGTTTTAGTTTTTCTTGTGTGTCTTGTGAGTATGGATATTGGTGAATTTTAAGTTTTGTTGATATTTGTTGATGAAATTGAGCAGATGTGATGTTGATCATGATGACATATTTTGATGAATTTGATTGGTCGTTTTGATTGGATATTATTTGCCTTGTGAGGTTTGAGCCTTATTCTGTTTCTGTGAGATATGGTCGGAATTTTGTTGATCAGAACATGCTTGAGTCTGTTTTGAAATAATCGATTGAAGTTGTGGTTTGTGAAAATGATTGAGGCATTTCTTTGACATAGCTCGTTTTAGCCCTTTTCATTGACCCTTGAACTTATATTTTCACTAGTAGCCCGTTGAGCCTTGAACCGTATTTTTTGTCAACCGATTCGATTGAATTATTTGAGATTTGACAGTGTACTTGATATGATGACGGAGCTTTCTAATATGTGTTGATGAGGTATAAAACTTGTTTGGGTTGCATTTTGAGTGCTTGACCAAAAAAAAAAAAAAAAAGAAAGACAGTCGAGTACTTAATTTGCATTTTTTGCACGGATTTTTGATGGGAATGATTGGTTTCATGTTGATTTTGGGATAGGTGGTGGAGCATTCGAGTAGTTTATATGCTCGAGAATTTGACTGTTTATTTGAGCCGCTTTATCTTCATTTTGGTTTTTCCCTTTTGCAAACTACCTTTATTGCAACCCCAGAAGTCCTCTTGATTTGCACTTCATGATTTTTGATTGTTTTAGAGTATGAACTAGACGATAAGCAAGCCTATGTTGAAACTTGATTGCCGACCAATTTGAGCGTTCCCATTTCATATTTATGTAAGAAACTGAGTGAGACATTATACATGATATTTCCGTGTTTGAGAGTTTGTCTGGTCAGTGCGTACCATTTAAGTTGTAATCGAGATGTGTTTTATTGGTCTTTTGAAGTCTCCTCATCTAAGTCAATGAATTTGAAACTTTTCTTATTTGAAGCCGATATCCATGCTCGTGTCTTGTTTTCTTTTCTTTTTGTTTGGGACGAACAAAGGTTTAAGTGTGGGGGAGTTGTTTGTCCCATTTTTGTTGCATTTTTCCTTGTTATTTTTCCTTTCTTTTTCCCCCATATTAGGTCTTTTAGTTAGTTTTTATCTCGTTTTGTAGTTTATTGCGTGTTTTCCTTTCAATTGAGTCTTTAAGTGTTTTCCGTTTGTTTTTCCGGTTGTTTTTGTGTTTTGTCGTTTTCGGTGTGTAGGTCGGGAGCTTCGGGTGAACTTTATCTTGAGGAAAAATTGGTTTCGAGAGCATAATTGGATAGAGGGGTTCGTTAGCGACGCGTAGGAAAAAACGAAACTCAATTCCGAGTTCGGACGAGCCTAAACGAGCCCGAAACATTAAGCCGAGCGCAGCAGCTCAGTTTTCTTCACCGCGGCCGCGGAAGAGAGGAAGTCGCGGCCGCGAGCTGCCCGAAAATTCACTTTTCTGGCCTGTGGATGTCGCGGCCTCGGAGGTGGTCGCGGCCGCGAGATTTCTTCACCGCGGCCGCGGAGGTCGCGACGTGCAGAAAAATGAGTATCGATTTTAGATTTGTTTTTCAGGATCTTTCGGGCGAGGTTTTGGGATCTCTGGACCTCTCGACCGGGGTGAAAACCCTAGGTCCCGAGAAAACACATGAATCTCTTCCTCCTCCTTTCTTTCTTCTTCTTCCTCGTTCCTTTTCTTCTCAAAATCATTATTTTCCATTTTTTCTTCTTCTTTTTCTTAGTTAGGGATTAAGCTTGTACTTCGAATTCAACATTTGAACTTGGATTGATTGTAAGTACTTTTTTTTCTCTTGTTTAATTCATGAATAATAGTTGACTTGAGTAGAATGATTATGTTTGTTGAATTTGATTTGCATAGCTAATTCCTTCTGCAAGGGATAGGGGATGCTTGTTCTTGATTAATTTCGTTATTATTGGGCTTTAATTTGTTCATGCTTGTGCGAGTTGCTTTAATTAGGGTTAACTAATTCTTGCTTGATAACTTGATATAATCGAAGGGTGACACTTCGATCTTGCAATTGGTAACAATTGGATATTGAGTTGTCGAGTTTGGTGTTGTTGATTCTCGATAATTAGTTGATTAAACACCTTCTAATTGAATTAGCGGCTTTTAGAACCGAAAGGGGAGTAGTCGCAGATCTAGGCTCGCATGAGGTAGATAAGTTCGTAATTGAATAGTCTATAGGTTTTGGATTGAAATACGTGCTTGTCAATGACCCATCCCTTGTTACGAAAAGTTACTGGGATTGGATAATTGACCTGTATTGTGTGCTCGAGCTTGTTCGTCTATGTTCAATCCCTTGTTACGAAGAGTTATTGGGAGCGAACCGCTAGATGTTTAAGCGAGAGTGTCAATCTCGAACCGAACAATTGATTGCCCGGTTTTGCTAAGAACTTGAATAAATTATCCCCGATTCCCTAGCTTCTCCATCATTGTTTCGTTTATATTTTTAGGTAGATTATTGTTTTCATATTATTTCTTAGTTGGTAATTATTCTACCCCCTTATCTGATTAGAGTGTGTAGGATTTATTTGCTTTTTCTGTGTATTCGATACCAAAGCTAAATTCCGAACCGCCTTCCTAGAGAGATCGACCCGAGGTCGGGAGTCATCCCGTACTCGGTAAAAATATAATTTGCTACAACATGTGTGTCTATGTGTGTGTGAGAGAGAGAGGGAGAGAGAAATAGAGAGTGCGGGTGGGTGAGGTCTGATGGTGTGGGTAGGTGTGATTAGAAAAATGTCAACTTTACCCTTACTCAGCATAAATGTTGGCTTTTTTTTAGCTGTTGGATTATCCGATCAGACGGTTCCAATGTATTCTTATTTCTTTCATTAAGCACCATTCTCACTGGAGCTATCTGATGAGAATGGTAGATAGTGAAAGAAATAAGAATAAACATGTACCATTGGATGTGACATATCAATGGTCATGATCAAATCAAATTTTAATATTTACCAGTCAAAATAGATATATCATGGTCAAATAAAATAGATATATCATGGTCAAATAAATGTAATTGACCACTAACTAGGGTCAAATTAGACATTGCAGCCAATGACCTCTTGGCCTAGTGGTAAGAGTGAGGCACCCTTGACATGTGGTCAAGGGTTCGAGCCCCCCGGAGCGCAATGGTGGAACAATTAATACTGAGGACTAGAAGCGGCAGTGTGGGAGGCTGAAACTCGGTGGGAACCAGCGGCTGGATAGGTGGCCAGCATGAAGTTGGGGGGGCCAGCGAGCAATCACTTCGATGGGAACCAGCGGCTGGATAGGTGGGGCCAACTTGGAGCTGGGAGGGCCAGCGAGCGATCACTTGGGGATCGACTCCTTGTGCGCGGTAGTTGAGGGTATTAAGTACCTGAGAGCCATTGTGTGGCTACCGCGGTTTAATTGGAGGCAGTGTCTGAGGGGCCGGAGTTGTTTCCTCGAGGACTAGTCAGGCGCAAGCCTGGAACCTCAGTATTAAAAATAAAAATAAAAATTAGACATTGCATATTCACCCCATGGGCCCCACCACCAACTCCACTAACTCTCTCTCACACAATCACACCTAAAACACACACTACTCTTCTACACTCTCTCACTTCGTGCACATCCTCAAAACACAGCTAAATGCACCGAGGCAGACCGCAGACACCACCAACCCACCGCCACCTGTTGTCCGCCACACTCCGTCCACCGCATTTCGTCCGCCGCCCGCTAGTCTCGCCTTCGCGTTGCTTCGCCGGACACACACACGCTACCAGCCGCCGCCACGATCCCCGCCTTCCGCCACATCCCTGGACGGCGCATACACCTGAGAATCCCTAGCCGGCGCTTCCGCCGCAAGAATGTTGGGCCATTAAGACGGCCGTCGTCAGTCTCCGCCTAAGATGCACGCCGGTTAGTTGAGGTTTCTGGTCTGACGAACGCTGCCGTGCCTCAAGTTTATTGTCGGCAGTCCCCTGCTCCAGCCTCCGGCAACATCCCCGCCGTTGGCCGCTATGGTGACGCGAATCTCAACCAATTTTTGCCGTTCGCTGGATAGATCGCCGGCGAACGTAGGAGCCGACCGTCGCAGGCCAACGTTGGTAGCAAACACAATGATTTGGTCGAACATGTTGCAGATGGGGGGGATAGAGCCGGGGGCATGTTTTTGAGAATTTAATAAGACATAGGGACCTCTTTGTAATTTTATAAGTTTTGTTATATTACAATTTAGTTCCTGGTCAAATTTTTAATTAATCAAAACATGGTTAGTATTTTATTGTTTTACTTGATTTTCACTATTTGTTATATTTATTTTAGCTGGAAATTAATGTTATGTTTACATAATAATAATGATAATAATAATAATAATAATAATAATAATAATAATATATATCTTTTATATAATTAGGTTGTTCGGTTCTTTAGATTAAAAAAAAGCCGACATCGAACATAAACAACCGAGTTTTTAAAAGTAAAAAGAAAAAAGAAAAAAAAAATCAAACCGAAATATTAAATTTCGAACCAAAAATTTTAGTTCGGTCCATTTTGTTCGATAATGTGCAATCTTATAGTCATTAATGTTCAATTCGTATAACCATAATGTGCAATTACGATACATAAAATATATAAAAACTAATAATATTTTTCATATAGTCCGATCAGTTTGACTATTTATTTCAAAAATTAAAGTCGGCATCAAACGGAAATAACCGTGATTTTAATAGTAAAATCATATAATCGAAACAAAATATAAAATTTTGAACCGAAAATTTTAGTTCAATATATTCGGTCTTTATTGTGCAATTTGACATTAATTAAAGTGCAATCCATATAACGCTATTGTGCACTTGCTGCATATGCGTTTTCTAACGTTTTGTTCCAAAATAATCTAAAACGAAACTACTGAAATACGTGATTTAAAAAGTAAATTCATATGATCGACTCGGAATAAGAAAATTTGAGCTGGAAATTTTAGTTCAATCGGTATGGTCTTTATGATTTTGAACCGGGAATTTTTAGTTCAGTCGGTTCGGTTTTTGTGGTGCAATTTGATAGTCATTAATGTGCAATTAATCTAACGTTATTGTGCAATTGCAGTGTATGCTTTTTCTTTTCCTTTTTTAATATTTTTCTCTAAAATAAACTAAACGAAATTGAACTAGTCGATTTGTTCGATGGTTAATCGGTTTACCCTAATTAATTTAAGTGATTTATTATTTATATTATAAAAATATATTTAATATTTTATATTATTTTTTTTTGTTGGAAATACATAATTGATAAAATATCAAAACTAATAATATTCATCCCCACATACGATAATGTGCATTTCGTATACCATTAGTGTGCATTTTGTATACCATTAGTGTGCAACTTATGGATCAAGTACTGTTTATATGTATTTTCAATTTTAAAATATTAATAATATGTATTTTTTAATGTGCAAGTCTACATGTTATAATGCACATTTAATTAATATATTTTGTGCATTATTTAACTTTTATAAAATTACAATTTTACACAAGGTCTAAATTGAAATATATTATAAATTATGAAATTGCATTTTCACCCCTGTAACACATCAAATTCTCAAAACAATGCCCCAACTCCAAACAGTGATTCCAACTTTCAGGCCTCGGACATTCAAGCCGTGAATCGCTACACTAGGTAGGGGCGACGCCGGTTGGTGTCGCTGGAATAGACGAGACTATTCTCGCCGCTGTTCGAAGCTCCGGGAGGACCATTGATCTGGTTAGCGGTGCTGTCAGCATCATATGAAACGGGAATCGGCGCGTCTTGCAGGCGGCGGTGGCGGAGACGGTCCCAGGCGGCTGAAACGGCACCTCGAGTCTTGAAAAAAAAATCGCTTTTAGCCGGAGCGCGACTCGCGAAGAAGAATGGTGAAGTTGCCGGCGGTCGCAGGCCGCTAAAACGGCAACTCGATTCGTAAAAAAAAATAAAGCCTTCTGCCGGAGCGCGACTCGCGGGGAAGACTGGTGAACATTCCGGCGGTCGCAGGTGGCAGTACCTGTGGTTGTAGGCGGCTGGAACGGCGGTGGTTGTGGACAGTGCCGACGAAGGCGGTCGGCGAGATGCTGTGCGTGTTGTGTGTGTCGGCATGTGATTGTGTGTGTGTGCGTGTGTGTGCGTCTGTGTGTGTGTGTGTGTCTGCGTGTGTTTTGTGTGTGGGTGCGTGTGTTTATGTGTGGGTGGGTGGTGACATGGCAACAGAGAGAGAAAGGGGGAATGAGAGGGAGTGTTGAGGTGGCGAGTGGGACCATGTGTTAGTGGTTGTGTGGTGGTGTGGGTTGCGGAAAAATACCATATTACCCTTAATGAATGTATAATGTTGAATTTTTTTTAGCCATTTGATCATCCGATCTAATGACCAAGATTTATTCTTATTTCTTTCATTGAGCATCATTCTTACTTGAACCCAACCCTACATATATATATATATATATATAGGGGCTGGTTCAAATAAAAACTAGTTCTGGTGTGAGAACCGTTTTTTATGCTATTTTTAATTGTGTATGATGCTATTTTTTATATTAGATGATGCTATCATTTTACAAGTGCTACCAAAAATTGTGTTGCTATTTTTAACAAAATTCATCTTGGTTAAAAATAGCATCAAACACAATCACTGATAGCACTACGTCCAAATAAAAATAGCGAGTCTCACACTAAGACTTGATTCTCATTTGAACCAAATCCTATATATATATATAATAGAAAAAAATTAATAACATAAAATAATAGAAAAAACACATATTGTCATATAAACGTGCAAAAATAGAAAATACCAAAGTCGATATTATTTCAAATTTTGTAATATTTCTTTGTACACTACATTAATTGTTTTATTTACAATTTTTTCATCCTTATCGCAACACAGAATTTTCAAGTCTCTCCTACTTTTAACTCTAGATAATGCAACATAAAGTTGACCATGACTGAATACAGGATTAGGCAAGTACAATCTGACGTTAGACAATGTGATTAGCCTCTCCTTGACTCTTATTAATAGTCATTGCAAAACAAACCATAAGTAGGAATTGTCTTCGTTGAAACTTGAAAGGCAATCTCACATCAGAAGGAGTCAATAACATCCGCGGAATAAGTACTTTGCTTCCAATATTCCTTCCCGATAGAACCTTAGCCTCAACAATGCGATCTCCAAGTCGAGTGATGATTAACCTGGTGTCTTTACATAACCCATAAAATAAATAATAATTATTTATTAAAGTTATCAGTTTTTATTTCTAATTAAAAAGTAAAAACATTACAATAATGATAGATAATAAATTAGTTAAGATTAGGAAAAAAAAAGAATGGTCGAGTGATCACTCACCTGGTGTCATTACACAACCCAGAAGATTGATCCATTTTTCGAAGCAGCATTACAAGAATACCAACTTTCAATTTTAAGATGTGATTAGGAACTCCTGAGCATTTTATTGCATTTATAAAATCAGTTGTGTACACTCAATGTCGTTTTGTCGCCTTGCATCTATAAAGGACTTTCTGAACTTTCTTGCTTGACTAGATGGAGTGTCTGATATCGAATATATAAAAAAAAAAATCAAAGAAATATATACTGTTTGCATTTTACAAAAATAAAACATTATTCTTTAATCTAATAATTAATTTATAAATATGTAAGTTTCATATATTATATATAATACAAAATTTAAAAGTAAGTCTCATAAAATATACTCATCTAAAATAATAGTTTCAATACCTGTAGGAGATAGTCCACACTTTTCTTTCATTTTTCGCCATTCTAATGTGTCTAATGCGAGCCAACCATTTAGGCTCAACACGTTTGAAAATTATATTAAGGGAGATAAGAGGGTTTGGAAGTAAATTAAAATCTATCAAATTCTAATAAGCATGCTAGTCTTCTACTTATATTATGAATTAATATATAAGGGGATTACAATCAAATGCCAACTCCTTTCATTTTTTTTTTTTATGGCAAAACCAATCGATAGGCATTTTCCGCAACCCGCAATTCTCTGAAGTTAGCCGGAGACGCTATGGAAGACCAGTCCCGTGGGTCTCTGAGAAAATTGGCGAAAGCGAGAGCGGGTTTTATCACCGAGATCGATGATTTAGGAGATGATCTTATGCAAAACATCCTCAGCCGGCTGCCGGCGTTATACTTCGCCTGGGCGGCGTGTGTTAGCCGCTCCTGGAACGCCCTCTGCAACCGCATCCTCTCTTCTCCGAAGCTCTCCTCCGCCGTCTCTTTTAACTCTTCTCTGGAGGTGTTTTTTCACCTTTCTTCTGCTGTTCTGTTTCTTTTTCCGCTACTCTAATTGAGTGTTTGGTAGTATAATTTGTATTCTTTCTGGCGTCTAACATTTGTTCTATAGGATGTATTTAGGTTCTATTGAGTGGTGTGCATTTTTTAATTGTGAGCTGTGGTTTAATTTCCTAACAGAGGCATTGACGTTCCATGATTATGTTAATTCTTAATGAATTAGAAGCAAGTTATGATTTTGGGACTTTATTTTTTCAAGTTTATAGACTTCCGTCCATTTGTGATGATAGGTATTGCCATAGAATTACGAAGCTAGCATCATCGTCTTACAATTCTTTCAGAGCTTGCGAATTTTGCTACAAATTATGCCATACACAAGTGTCCTGTTCCAAAGGGTCTAAACTTTGACACTTTTAGTTGCTGTATCTTGGGTTTCTTTATCACAGTAATCTCTGTTTTGTTGACGATTTAAGAGCAGAAATTACATTATGACTCTTTGTGCAAGTTAAATGTAAGGAAAAAAACTTGTTTTGCTGTCATTACATTTATGAGTACATGTTTAGTTTTTATTCCATCTCACCTCTATCATTTGGTTGTAGAATGCTGTGAATGAGGTTATGGACAAGGTTTTATCAGAACCCATTCGCCCTCATTTTGCACTGGCTTCAATTGGCCCCCATTTTAGCTTACAATCAGCTCTGGAACTGGTATATGAGTATCAGTTTAAAGGTATATGTATGTTTTCACATGATAGTTAAAAAAAGTGGCATTTTTTCAGATTGATGCAAAACTTGGTTCCAGTATTCCTGTAATTGTCAATGTGTCAGAGGGAATCATAGGCAAGGATGCACACACAGAGCAGTTTGTTGAGGTAATTTCCTTTTCCTTATTGTCCACTGAAAATTTCTCCTCAATATAGTCAAAATCCTTTACAGAGAAGGTTTTACTCAATATAATATTTGCTTTCTGCTTCAATTTCCTCTCCTTTGTTCTAGCACTTTGACATAGTTTTATTATGTTATTGAATTAGGCACTTCAATATAATTCCTAAGATTATGTGTCTGACATATTGGTCTAGGTACTATGGGAAGTAACTGAGGAGCAGGAAGGGCAACCACCAGAAGAGACTAACAGGGGAATTATACTAACGGTTGGATTTTTACCAGGGTTAAAGGCCCTTATAGTCCCTTTGCTGTGCAGAAAGAAGGTAAATGTGATTTATATAGCTCTCTAATGCAAAATAAACTTATTAAAGTTTACCTTATCAATTTCATCTCATTATCTAATGTTTATACGGTACAAAATAGGTAAAAAGCTACAATGGCCTATCGTTAGTTGTTATAAGGTTTTTCTGTCTGAGATTGTAACATAACAGCGTGGTGTCTACCAAAGTACCAATGATCACTTGATAGTTGAAAGTGTAGTTTCCTTCATTTTGGATATATTTTTTGAAATATTCACTTGTGACATGAGGTAATATTTAATTTGAGGTGCACACAGGAACAGGGACCTCAAGGTCATCTCATTGATGATTTTGTAATGAGTATCCGAGAAGTTGCATCTGCAGTTTCAGATTCAGCAGTTCCTGCCGGAGTCATACTGTTTGCGGTGAGTTAAACATTCTCTTAATAGGCATTGTCACTGGGTTCTTTCTAATCCGCACAGTTCCTTCTGTATTATTAATGTCCTTACTTGGATATGGTTCCTTCATCGTTGGACTTAATTTATATTGTCCGAATTTCTCCTTCTAATACCTGAAAAAATATTACTAGTGTTTTTTCAAAACTTTTTCTCAGATTTTTATCGTAAAATTAAATACAATAAAATAAAATTAAGCACACTTAAAGGTGAGGCAATTTGAGATATGTGCTCTGGAAGCTAGTAATTCNTTTTAGTCGCTCTTATATATACTGTCTGTAATAGGGATCACTCTTCAGTTTGCTTCTTACATTAAGCTATTTGATGTACTAGGATCGGAAAGCAAATGTCAAACTCATTCTTCAAAAGATTGGTAAGTTTTTCCTGGACATTGCTTGCAATTAATTAATGTTTTCTTTTTTCTTTTCCATTTTACTTTTTTTGGGGGTACAGCTCCATATCTGTTTTGTTTTTTCGTTTTATTTATATTCATGCCGAGGACTAAGATGGCAGTAAAGGGTAATGAAAGTGTACGCAGTCTAAATCTAAGTAAACGACAGAAACTCTACTTTTGTATTTTCATAAACATGGAGGCAATAAAGGTGTATGAAGTCTAAATAAACATCAGAAACTTTAATTTTGTGTTTTCATATATATTGAAATGCATTTCTAACATTTGTTTATTTTTGAGTAATTTTTCAGACTATGCGTTCCCTGAGGACACCTTCGTTGTGGGTGATGGAGGCAGTCCCTTCTTATATCGATGTCATAGAAGAAGCGATAACACTAGTTTGCCTGATTCAATTTGTGCGGCAGTTTCCCTAGTATTTGCACGGGATAGGAACAAGCCTTTAGGTTAGGTCATCCTTCATTTTTGCCGTGTGAGCAAAGTATATACGTTTACAAGACACGAATAAATACATTGCTGCATTCCCTGTGGGACTGCATGTTTCTTTATCTCTTTTATGGATTTAGATGTCTATATTAATATGCAGGTGTTGGGGAAACTCAATTTCATACCATGTTCTCAGCTGGCATATCACCTGTTGGAAACACTTACAAGGCAGTTTGTGCTAAATGTATTAAAAGTTCAACTTGGCTCACAGCATCTAGAGAAACAGTTCGTAACCCTCTTGATGGCCAAGCTATATTAGATGAAATCTATGACGAGGTATCCCAGATTTGTACCTTACTTTATTGTTAGTAAAAAGAAGGCAACTGTCAGGATTATGTTTTTGGTTCACAGTTATTCACATAGCAAGTTATGTTCAACCAGTTTGTGTTGTGAACCAGCAGATGTCTGGCTTTGTTGGTAAAGTTGCAGTACAAGTTGAGCCTTTTTCCACTTTCTAGCACATTGGCATTCTCTGGTTAATGCATGACCAGTCCAAAGAAATGAATTGAATTTAACAGTCAGCTGTCACTGTAGATTGTGAAGGAAGTAAAATCAAAGCTCTTTTTTTAGTCACCATAATTGTAGGTTATAATGAAATAAAGACAGTCGAGATTTTTGTGTTCTCACACGTTTTTTCTTGAGTTGGCTTGGTCTTGACACTTAGAAGTTGATGTATGCTAAAAGATATTCTGGATCAAGTTTCCATGCGCTGGATGAATTTTGTTCTTAATCCGAAAGATATAATGTATAAGCATATTAAGACTTCCCGATTTCTGTAATTCTTATCGAAATTCTGAATAACTGTGGCAGCTTGGAGATCGTATTCAGTATCCTGCTTTCTACATTGGAGTAACAAAAAGAAGAAAATGCTCAGTTCGCATGGAAAGAGTAAGACAGATGCAATTCCTTGAATTCCATGAGGTTCTGGGGTAATTTCCAAGTCTTATGTTATTTAAATTTACTCTCTACTTAAAGTGTCTTTCTTGACTTTAATCCTAAAAATAGGAACTTAAGGCCAAATCCTAGTTGTTAAAATTAACTTTAGATATGATGGATTAACTAATTAATGGATTCAACGAACTTTTGAATGTGCATTAAAATTATGGGTGGTGGCGGACTAATAAATATGTTTTAAATGTAGAAACCAAACCTGTAAATGTAATGTACTACTATTGTCTTTCATTGATATACTTCTAAATGTTCATAAACAAATGTCTAAATTTGCAGAATTGTTATTCGATTTACAGTTTAGGTTTTCATAAAAAAATTATTATTTGAACTCTTAAGTATAAAATTTTACGTAGCCAAAATGATATGAGTTCTATTTCTTAGATTGTGAGGAGTAATATGGTGTAATTTATCTTATACGTATTTGTGTACGTCAACAAATATAGAGTAATTTTAATAGAAGCGAGAATCTAATGGAGAGTAATAAAAATAAGCATTTAAATTCAAAATCACTGTATGGCTGCTCATTTAGAAATTGATCAATGCAAATTTACACATTCCGTGATGCATATTTAGAAGAATGGAGATGTATAATTTCTCTAACCACTTGATATCAATTTGATCTAGCTGATTGGATGGCTGTGGTTAATCATATATATATATATATATATACACAATTACTTATGATCATAACCATTACATTTATTTCTCCAGAGGTGACGAAGAGTATCTGTTTGCTAATTCTGTTGGCATAACAACCACCGACCCCTTCCGTTTCTACATCTCAGACTCAAAACTTGCTCTTTCATCTTGCAATAAGGTTGGTGATGAGCTCCGTGAGCTAAAGATGGATTGTGAAAAGAGACGAGTCTTTGGTGGCATTATATTCTCTTGCTGTGGTCGAGGTGAGTCCTTTTTCAGAAGTGCGGGTGTCGATAGCGCCCCTTTCATAAGCAACTTCCCAGGAGTTGCTTTCGGAGGAAGTTACTGTGCTGGGGAAATTGGACGTGCGAAATCGAGCTTGTATGGTGGAGACAGTGAAGTTTCATGCAGTGAACATGTATATAGTGCCATTTATCTAGTTATGTCTTACTGTCCCCCGCCTCAACTGGAGTAGCACATTTTATTATTATCAACCTCTCTTTTTGCTTGGAAGTGATGGGGAAAGAGTTATCGAGTTTTTGAGATTTCTGATGATGAGTATAAATGGTTTGTAGAAATGTACTTGACGTGAACATATACATTAATATGGTCAGTATAAATGGTATGTAAACAATATTGGTTCTGGGGAGGTCATGTTTGCTTATTGTTTTTGTTACTTTATTTTGATCCTGCAATATTATCATCTTATTCCCCAGTCTCCAGGAAAAGCGCACACTTTGTTCTTCATTCTCACTCCATCATTTTTCCCTTCTTGTGTTTTATATGTTCTGCTCTCTAGCTATTACAAAATCGGAAGTCGGGTTAATGTTCTTAAGTTTTCTTTTGCTGGTAAAAGTAATAACTTTGATAGTTTTATCTTTGTGTATTAAGATAATTTACCACACAAACCTCAAGACTCTACTAAGTAGCCAATACACAACTAAAAAAAAAAAAAGTAGCCAATACACAACCACAAGACTGAAAGAGAGGTACACTAAAGTGCCCTAGAACAAAATAAAAAACTACTGCCTGAAGGTTAACAAGCCCTGGCTAATGACAAAGCATAGATACCATGGATGTTTCACCACCTGCAATAAACTACTGCAAAAGGAGGTAAACCACTAGCCAATGCCCTAGTCTAGCTCACCTCAACAACCACCAAACCAAAAACTACATAATCTAAGAATACATTAACAAACTACCAGTCCAGTGAAAAATAAAACCTAACTGACAGGCCATAAAACACATTGTTCTGAAAACGACCGGAAACCAGCTAGTACACCAGTCCGGTTTGTGTCATAAAATCGTTACGACTCAAAACCGGATAAAAACTAAATAAACCAGTCATAACCAACAAAGGTTAATCCGGCAGAGCGGTCCAGTACTTAAAGTTGCTCATAGGTAGTTAGTTACTAAATAGTGTAATTTTTTTGTTTGCTTCTCCGATATGGGACATTCTCTGTTAAAGGGTCGCTGAATTTCTTGGGCCATTATAGCTGGGCCATACAAATAATTATTGCTTGGCCGTACAAATCTCTATTTGGAGAGCTTTGGATTTGGATCCTACACTCAATTGAAGCCCAAATTAAAAACTAATTAATTTGTCAGTTTTTAAAAGACATTGGCGCATCAATATGGATCAAATATCCATTGGGTGTACATTCAGAGATGGATAAATTTCAAAATTAGAAAAGTTTTAAAGACTAATTTTGCCTTATTGACCTCACTAATCACATTAATTTTTATGAAAAAAGTATTAAATATTAATATTATAATATCATGGTAGCTAAATAATTAGGCTATGGACATTTCTTTATTTATTTTTTCCTTTATTTATTTAGAAAAATATCAATATACACTAGAAAAATAATGAGAAATATATATACAATTATATAGTATACATATAAAATAAAAAAAAGTATATATTAATTAAACCGGTTCGACTGGTTTGACCACTGGTCCGACCAGTGAACCATTGAACCGGTAGCTTCACCGGTTCGATGACCGTTTCGGTTTTCAGAGGTTAACAAGTCCTGGCTAATGACAAAGCATAGATACCATGAGTGTTTCCCCACCTGCAATAAACTACTGCAAACGGAGCTAAACCTTTGGCCAATGCCCTAGTCTAGCTCACCTAAACAACAGCCAAACCAAAAACTACATAATCTAAGAATACATTAACAAACTACCAGCCAGTGAGAAATAAAACCTAACTGACTGGCCATAAAACATGAGCAAAGAAACAATAATAACCCAAGAGCAGCTACACCCTGCTAAATTCAAACCATTCTTCAAGAGCTATTGTCACCACTGCTAACTCTGTTCTCCAGGTAATTTGAAAGACCCACAAGTTTCGTGCTTTCCAAATCCACCAAAGTAAATAAGCTGTGAGTTGCATTCTGGCATCATTAGCTTCAGAGTTAGGAATTGAGCTGATCTGAGTCCACCAATGAGAGAAACTATCTGAGAGGTGTTGCAATCCATCCCATTGAACTGGAGCCAGTGCTCATATCCTTGAGGCTTTGGGGCAGTTGAAGAACAAATATTGTATTGTTTCTGACTCTTCTCCACAGATTTTGCACATAGGGTCAATTTTCACTCCTTTCTTGGCTAGGTTGGTATTGAGAGGCAGGATGTTGTTCAAACACTTCCAGATAGTGTTTGATTTTCCCCTTGATCTTTAGCTTCCAAAGTCTTTGCCTCATTTTCGTAGTTGTTGAATGTCCTTTGCTAGCTCAGCAATATCAAGGGTCTTCCATTTTTCATTCACCAGATAATCATATGAGGCAACCACAGAGTGTTTACCATTTTTTCCACATTGCCATACCAATCTGTCTTCTTCATCCGGGTTAAGGCTTTTGATTTTCAGAATTGCTTCCTGCACTTGTCCAGTGAACATGTCCTGCAAAATCTCTTTCCTCCATCTCCTCCCAGTATCATCAATCAAGTCACTGACTTTGGTGATTTCAGGGTGCATGTGGGGCTTGATATGTGGTTTGAATAAAATAAGTGTTGTTTTATGAAACAGTTGTAATATTATAATTCTAAAATATAACAACATTATAAAAGTCTGACGTTAACATATGCTATACAATTTAAGCAACACATAAATTCAAATTGAACAAGAGAATGTCAAACAATCGATTGAATTAAATACATACCATTTCATGATCTTCGCACCCGATGGATTATAAAAACCATGATAAATAGCAACTTCAAACTATTTCTAAGATTAATATGATGGAAACAAACAAGATATTGGCACGACTCAATCAAATGAAATGGGACATTTGCTTTGATTGAGCCATACTAACATCATGACTATCCCATCTAATCTATAGCATTTAACAAAGCAATTAATAAAACCTCTTTTGTTTTCTCTCCAAAAGACGTTACAAAAATTTATCATTAATATTATATTTTTCTTCACTGTATTCCACTTTTATCTAAATGCTACAATCAATATTATTTTAACTTTTATATGTAATGTAATTTTTAATATTCTTACATAATTTTGGTAATTTGCATTTTCTCACACACTTAACTAAATTTTATTTTATTTTATTTTAAACTCTTAGTTTGAAATCATATATTAGCAAATTTGATTGGACTGATTTAATTTAATAAAAAAATCAGTTTTTTATTTTTGGATTTTTATTTTATGTTGTGAAAATGTGTAAAAGAATTATACAATAATATTTTATTAAACACAAAATACAAAAATCAATAAATTAGTGATATGCTCATTATCAAAATTATAATTACTGATATGCTCAAAGATTTAAATAGTTTATATTTATATCATTCATTTTTAAGTGGTGGATGGCTCCATAAGAAAATCATCCGATGACTACATAGAATTTTTGGTTATACTCATTATCTAAGTTATAATTTTAAATACTATATACACACACATATAACATATAAAAATTTATTTGCATATGTGCATGTACACAGGATCGCGGGATCGCATACTAGTGGAAATAAAACTCACATAAGAAGTACAACTCAAAGTTGCATATAATTCATGCTCCTTTATATACTGCCAAATCCTTTCCTGAAAACATATGCTGCGAAAGGAAGAAAATGGAGCAATAGAGAGAAATTCGCAATTGAAATGTGCAGTTAACCTTTTTCGTGGTTCAAAAGTTAGGTTAGAATTCAGATAATTTAGGAGTTTCTAAATTCGATGTTCAATAGATAACCTTTTTTTTTTTGGTTAAAATGAGAGGAGATAACTCGCGAGAGGCTAAATGCAAATATTTCGTGGGTAAGAGACACTTCTTACGTCGTGCTTAAGCCACGGAACGACACCTGTGGGTGGGGCCGGAAGCCTATGAAAACCTAGAGAAACCGAGGTCGCGTGAGACGCTAAGTAGTCCGCAGCAAAATTCGCCTCACGAAAAATGTGAGAAATCTTAACTTGTCAGTTTCGACTTAGAAGTCAGTTTCGACTGAGAAGCTCTCTTATCCCTATGATCAACCCCGAATGGACCCCTTATATATTCTCACAATTATTTGCGAAACCCTCGATGCTAGAGTTGTCGACTTCAGCTTCTACTCGATGATACCCCAAACTCCATGCTAAGTTAAGGCCCTGGAATAAACCCCATAACTCTGCTCTGATTATTGAGCATTCCCCAATGTTCATCATGAAGCCGCCGAGCCATTCGCCCGAATAGGCCATACCTGAGGATATATTATGTGCTCCATCTGAGTTCACCTTTTCCGAGAGCTCGGCAGAGGTTCCTATCAGACAAGGCATTGTACAAGAGATGACCCTATACCAATCTTTATAACCCCTTCGACGAAATGTAGAACACTGTTGACATAAGCACTGATTTCCTTAACTTTGCCAAAGGCGTCCATCCCTTGGTCTTGAAAGATAGAGATGTTTCTCCAGTTCCATAATTTCCACAGAGTTACGCTGAACATACATTCCCAATTTTTGGTATCGGCAAGGGTGCTGGGGAGATTAAAGTGGTTGGTTGTAAGCCAAGCCTCTAGATCGAACTGAAAGAACTTCTGCTGCGCCTTTATCGGAACCAGTCGGAGCCAAACTTGATTAGCTTAAGGGCAGTCCCTGAAGACATGAAGAAGGGTTTCCTAACGAGTAGGACATTTATGGCAGCACAACTACGAGGCTAAGTGTCTTCGCCCTCTCTCAACATTAGTCATGAGACGACCCTTAAACACAAGCCAAATAAACTGACGTATGCGCTGAGGGCCGGCCATCGCCAAACAGCTCGCTAAGGCCCCCCCAACATCACTCTTTTCTCCGTCGGTAATAAATCGGCAGACCGAGCTAGTTGGGAATTTGCCATTTTTGGAAGCCTCTCAGTAAAGACGATCGTCTCCCAACTCAGGGCGAGGGGTCGGAGGTGTTGTTGTTATATACTGAAAACTTGGCTTTAGATGATATTGCACATTTGCCCTTTATGAATGAGAATCATGTTTGATTAAACAAGTTCTATGTTCTGTTGTTTTGCATTTAAATAAGATGGTTCATTAGCGGGTGAACAAAAGATCATCTAATCAGTCACTTGCGAAACAAGAATTGTGGTTCACAACCTAGATGGAAATGAACACCCCATCAGAACGGTTGTAGTGTCAACGGTACAATTGCTCTTGACTAATTAGTTGCACTAGTACAATTATGTATTAAACAGGATCCCAGAGATGAGAAGTTCATTTTATACTGATCGTCGTAAATGAAATAGGCCTCGGTTGCGTTCTCTTAACCCGTAGGATATTAAAC